TGTCAATGCAGGGTCTTGGTAAGACTCTGCAAACAATAGCACTGTTAGGCTATCTGAAGCATTACCGAAACATTCCTGGGCCACACATGGTCCTGGTTCCAAAATCAACTTTGCACAATTGGATGAATGAATTCAAACGCTGGGTTCCGTCATTACGTGCTGTTTGCCTTATTGGGGATAAAGATGCCAGAGTAAGTACCCTACATTTCAAAGGTGTACGCATTTTTTGTCAAAAGCTAGCATTTGAGCATGTGGGATTCTGCCTAAGCTACTTCCTTCATTACAGTGTTTTTCAGTAATCTTAAATATTTAATTAGTGTTGAAAATGCACAATGTAACTACGAGGAAAAATGCAAACCAATGGGTGAAATAGTAGACTGAGATGAAAGTACAGCTGTCTGACTTACCTCTTTCTGTTGCCTCCCTCTTTGATTCTTGCACTCTTTTTTGGGTTATTTTTGGATCTCTTCTGTGTGTTTGCATTGTGACACTGTTTATTCATTTTCCATTATTGCCCTCACTTTGTTACTTCTTTCTTCACCTTTTTTAGGTGACTTCTCCCGCGCTTTACTTGTGTCTTATGTCCATGCCTTGCCTTGTAACCTGGATTCTGTTGTAGAACTTTTCATTTTTATATCTTGGAACAGATACAGGATCATTTTCTACCTTGAAGGAGATCTGTCTGTTTAAATTGAAATGTTTGTGCATATATAACTATCAATGTGTGAAAAATATTGGGATTAAATTAGTGAAAATAACATTTTTTAAGAGGACTTAGATTTTTAGAATTATAATATGGAAAGATAGTAGAGGTTTTGGTAAGTGGCCTTCATGCCTCTGTGTTCCCCTGTGTTTGGGATTTCATTTGCAGGAGATAAAGGGTGCTAGAGCCTGCCTATACAAGCAGGAACAAGTAGGAATGCCAGGGATGTAATACATGTATCTAAATTTTAAAGCATCTAATCGACCTATTCTGGGTTGCCAGAAAGGACAAGAATTTCACCCCTTTGGCAGTGGCTTTAAGGAGAGAGACTCCTCTTGGGTACATTACCTGACCGAAAGGTGGTACAGTGTCCTGCTGAGTCAACACAACTGTTCTGGCCTGTTTTTAAATATTTGCAGGGAGTTCACAGATGATTAGCTGACAACCAAGAATGAGACTCAAGAAATCTATTGTTTAAGAGAACCCTAAGCTTTTGGCTCACACACAAGAATAAGGTTTTACCAGAATAACAGAGGGGCAGTGAGTTCATGAGTAGGTGGTGTGGGCTGGAATGCAGCCAGCTGTAGTTGTGGAACAGCAGTGGTGTGCTCCAGAAGTTGTCTGCTTTCTGTGACTTTGTAAAATATTTCGGAATTTGGAGAAGCAAACATTACCAAAATAAGAAGTCTCTCTTATTAACTAAGAACTGCATATTTACACCAAGGCGGCTCTTAGGTAATAACACACATATCTGCATGTGGCCTGTCTCCACTAACTGTACAACATAAAGCCATAAGAATGATGCTGCAGAGAAGGGAAATAATAGCTACTATAGGTTATCTTGCATCACAGTTGGACAGAGCTGAGTAAGTGTGCAGCTCACTCCCAAGACAGCCTAGAAATCCCTTTAGCAGAGTGAAATACCTACATTTGTGTTGCCAGTCCAGTGATGTAGGTTTGACACAGAGCAACACTCAAACTGTTCACAAGTCATGTGCGACTCGACCTATGGAGAGAGAAAAGGAGAGAGAGTGCGTGTGTGTGCGTACGAAAGCCAGTGCAACAAGTGTTAAACAAGGCTCTTGAACAGGCTGGTATTAATTCTCGGAGCAAGAGTGGCAGCCAGTTACTGTGAAGGATGGCTGGCTTGCCAGTTTCCAGGTTTGCCTCCAGAGAAAAGTATGACAGCCACAGGGGCAGCATGAGGCAGTGTGCTAGAAACTTGGGAGAGCTGCACTTTATGGGGTGATAGGGTCTTTATCCCATGGGCCTTCACCTCAGTAAAGCCTCAAAGTTAAGAAAATAACAAAGAAAGAAACTCAGCAAGACTGCTGTCATCAGAAAGTACCATAAATACTCATGAGATGAAAAAACAGGAGTACCTCCTAGATTTTAGTACCTCCTCCCCTCAGAAGCTCACTCTGCTCTAGAACCACGTGCTGACCTGGAACCTGATCTAGAACCACCAAGTGAGCTAGAACCTCACCCAACCATCAGACAGGCTAGAACCTGCTCCAGAAGCAAGAAGTGATCCTGAAACAACCAGCAGTCCTGAACCAGCAAGTGAAATGCGAGTTAGACCATGGCCCTGAACGTACAAGAGAACTAAACCGTTATTCTGCTCCAGAACCAGCAAGCTGGAAATGGGACCTAGAACCAGCAACCAAGCTAGAATATTATCTAGAACACCTCCCTACCAGATCAACTCCAGAATTCATACCTGCTGTAGAAACAACTGCACCAACACTGCTGTGGCTCTGCAAACAGCCATCCCCAGCCAACCCAGCCTTTGGAAGAGTCCTGGACTCTTGAGTCTTGGCCAATTGCATGAGCTTCAGGCAAGGCCAGGTGGCAAATCCTGCACTTGGGTCACAGCAACCTCATGCTGTGCTACAGGCTTGGGAAGGAGTAGCTGGAAAGGTGCCTGGTGGAAGGAAACTACGTGAGAGTGTTGGTCGATAGCTGCCTGAATGAGAGGCAGAAGCGTGCCCAGGTGGCCAGCAGGACTCGAAGTGATCTTTCCCCTGTACTTGGCACTAGCGAAGCCCCACCTCAAATACTGTGATGAGTTTTGAGCCCCTCACTACAAGCTCCCCTGAGCTTACACTTGCATTTTCATGTCAGTGCGTAGTATTGTACAGAACACTCCTTTATTAGGTAGCCCTTCAAGGCTGTGGACTTGAACAGCTGTGTCAGTCCTATTAGCCAGGGTGGTCTGTGTGCCCTGTTCAGTAAGTTCTGGTGAGATCTGTATGTGTGGCTTTTCCATAGGGTGATACTCTTTCATGTGAAAGAGTTTATATGCCTGGATATGTATCCCTTACAAAACAGAGTTGAAACAATTATTTAGGAAAGAAAGAAAATGGGAGTGGGCTCCCTGAGTTGTTCTGAAACACTTTTTTGTGGATTGTGTCTCTGAACTATTTAGAGGGTTTTTCTTTCTCTATTGGTAGTATGAACTGTATCTAAATTACAGAAAAATTATGCTGAAGAGTAAATACTTAATTTTGAACAGGAGAAAATTTATGTTTTGCTTAACCCCAGCTTATGATGTGTCTATGCCTAAATTACAAGTGATTGAAGGATTTTGTTGCAGTAATTTTCAGTTATTGAAAAGATACCTGAGCTGTCCTTTGTGTGCTAGCTTAGTGTATCAATAATGTTGGCAGAGAGAGCTTTCACTGAATTCTATACAAGTAGTTCCTATTTATAAATGTTTATTAGTGTAATTGTTCTGCTTTAGGCTGCTTTTATCCGTGATGTTATGATGCCTGGTGAATGGGATGTTTGCGTTACATCGTATGAAATGGTAATTAAAGAGAAATCAGTCTTCAAAAAGTTTAACTGGAGGTACCTGGTGATTGATGAAGCCCACAGAATCAAGAATGAGAAGTCTAAGGTAAGCTCAGAATTGTTTGATACTTTGAAGATAATTTGACATAAAAGATTTAATCTGGTTTTAGCAGTTTTTTAGTGTTAGGTGTGGTGTTTTTTAAAAGACAAGATGTAAGCTATTAGGTGGTAAATACAAATTTCATAGGTAGCTCACTAGTCGACATTGTTTTGGGTTTCAGAAACTGATGAAAATTCGTTATGCTTCAATGTACATGACGATGCTAACTATTCATTGTATTTCTAGCTGTCAGAGATTGTGCGTGAGTTCAAGACAACAAATCGACTGCTGCTCACAGGAACTCCTTTACAGAATAACCTCCACGAACTGTGGGCGTTACTCAATTTTCTCTTACCTGATGTCTTCAATTCTGCAGATGTAAGTTGAGGTTTGGAAGTAGTCTTCTTAGTTTGATTCCCAGGCTGCTTTCTGCAGGAGACAATGACCGGCCTAGTGAGTGCCATACGATGTAGAAGACCTGGTAATTGCTGAGCAAAACTCAACATTAAAGTGCTTACAGTATTTAAAGTATATGCAGTAGTATGCATCATTCTGCAACGGTTAGATATTTCACAACTGCAATTACAGTGCAATGAAATAAATTGTACTGCAAAGAAAATGACTTGCCTAATTGTAGACTGCTTTTTTTGCTCTGCCTGGTTAAAACAGTGCATTCTGCAGATAAGGCCTCAGGCCAGTAATAGCAAGTGTAATACTTCAAGTAGTTCAGTAGTGCAAAGTGGAACCGAATTTGGAAAGGCAATGCGGGATGAAGAATATGAAGCATTCAAATAGGCGTAAGCCTTTTTTTCATTTACAGTCACCTTTCTGCTCTTTACTGGTAATGTTTACTTGTATTTGTGTTGCTTACTTCCATTGTGTTTGCTCTGTTGTCCACCTTATGTACTTAAAGGATTCTGGTTTCTTTTACCTTTTTGCCCCATCATTACACAAGCATTAAGGGAAAGAACTTGGACACTGCAGTGATGAGCATGGAAAACCATTGCCAATTAAGCAGAATAATAGTGTTTTGTCTGTGGAGTTACTAATTGGACTTGGATATTATGTGCTGGGGAGCTGGCACAGAACTGCAGACTGATTTTTCTTTCATTCATAGAAGTAATTTGTCTCAAGATTTATTCCACTCTCAGCTGGAGTGAAAGGGAGTCAATACGTGTCTGTTAAAAATACAGATGATAAACTGTTTGTACCAATTGTGCTGTTTTTCACCACAGGATTTTGACTCATGGTTTGACACGAAAAATTGTCTCGGTGATCAGAAACTTGTAGAAAGACTTCATGCTGTAAGTAATTAAGGTTGTAATTGTGTGTCACTGTTAGCATACACTGTGTAAAAATAAAACCAGATTATTTCCCCCTTCATACCAAAGTTGAGAGGATGAACGTGAAGGTATCTAGTTACACAAATGCCCAGCAGAATTTTCATTAATGAAATATTGGATCTTGCTATTGTAGCTACTGTTTTTTGTAACAACATTGTTTGAAGCAGACAAAATCTATGCATAAAATGCGAAAATGAAGAACTCTGAGATCTTTTTGAAACCATTTATTATTGTGAATAGTATATACTGATACACACCATGCTAGCCTGAGGAAAGGCATGCCTTTACCTTTGTTTTGCTGGGCGTAAGATAAGACGCCTTTCATCAAACAGTAACAAAACAAATCAGAAGGAAGTACAACATACGTTGCTTATCTTTGAGATTGTATTTCGTATACGCTTCTAGTGGAAATGAAACAGAGCTTGTGTTAAATGGTAAATAGATCTTGTAAGATTGTGGGATGAATGTGGCAGTCTATGTAGCGTTATGTGTTTGTGTGAACTTAGCCTGTTAGTGGACAACTTGGGTTTGCAGACAAGATCAGAATTTTTCTGAAGGAGCCATCATGAATGCAATAGATATTGATTAGTTCTGAATAAATATCAGAACCTGGTAATTTTGTATTTGAGGCCATCAATTTTATAAATTTGTGTGTTGAAAAAACTCTTTAATTTGTGTAGGTTTTGAAGCCATTTTTATTACGTCGCATAAAAGCTGAAGTAGAAAAGAGTTTGCCTCCGAAGAAGGAAGTAAAAATTTATCTTGGACTCAGCAAAATGCAGAGGGAATGGTGAGTTATTTACATCACAATAAGATCCTTTTCTGATAAAGAACACTACAGCTCTTCACGCTGGTTTTTTTATAGTTGCATATTAAAACAGTCAAATGGAGAAGTCTATAGTTGTCTCTGGGGCTTATTTTAAAGATACACAAGTTCTAAAGAGCTCAGCAAAGGTAATGAAAAGGGTTGAGAGGAAGAAAGCAGAAACTTCTTTTCCTTCTATAATTTTATTTGAAAGAACATATGCCTACTAAGTTTCTTCCTTTGATGCAAATATGTATGCACCAGTAGAAGTCTGAGCTTAAATGAAAATAAAACCCTGTGGAGCCCCACACCCAGAAGAGACTTGAGAACAGGAGCCAGGTCAGTGTAGCAGCTTCAGTGAAATAAATTTTATCTTTAGTCCACTTTGTAGTCCTAAAATGGAAGAGTAAGTTTACCCAGTAAATGACAGATGATTGTCACTCACAGACAAATTGCCTTTCACGTTTAAGTGTGGATTTATAAATCCTTATTATCAGTCACTAACTTTCATAATGGTATAGCTCATTATTTAATAAACAAAGCCCACTCCCATATCCAGAAATACGTAATTGGGATATTGCAGGATTTCATTCATGCTTTAAATATCAAATAAAACCAGAGTTATTCAAAACTGCCTGTAAAACTTCAGGTATACAAGGATCCTGATGAAAGATATTGATATCCTGAATTCAGCTGGGAAAATGGATAAGATGCGTCTGCTGAATATTCTGATGCAGCTGCGTAAATGCTGTAACCATCCGTACTTATTTGATGGTGCTGAGCCGGGCCCTCCTTACACCACTGACACGCATCTCATCACTAACAGTGGTAAAATGTTAGTTCTGGATAAACTGCTAACAAAGCTGAGAGAGCAAGGTGAGCACTGTTGATGAACAGTAGTGATCTGAATGCTCGTTGTGAGTAAAACTACCTTTCAAAACCTGCGTACGTTTATTGTCGTTCCTCCAGTGAATGCATTCATTACTTTCAGTGAGGTTTTTGTTGAAAGTCATTTTCCTGTGGATCTTAACACATGGAGGGAAGTCTTAACAGGACTGATGAGGAAATCGAATAATATAGAGAAGTAGAAGGAAGAGCAGAGCTTCCCTTCTTCCCTATCTTCTTTAAGATAACTTTTGATGAGAGGATTAGTTTGTCTGTGCATGAGTCATCAGCCACTCATCTTACCATGATTTTAAGTGTTCTGTTTCTTCAGCTGTTTATTTCTTTTCTGTAAATTATCAAAGAACCTGTTTTGAGAAGTAGTTAAATCAATACCAGAAAAGTAACTTCAGGAGAGACTTACTTGTCTTGTTAGGCATAGTACAGAGTATTTCACATAAATTCTTATTCATGGTCTGTAGTAGGCTCTGTGATAAGATTAATGTTAGAACACAAAACAAATGACAAAAACCCTTCTGTGTTGTTCTGTCAGGTTCCAGAGTTCTACTGTTTAGTCAGATGACTCGCTTACTGGATATTTTGGAAGACTATTGCATGTGGCGTGGATATGAGTACTGCAGACTTGATGGACAGACACCACATGAAGAAAGAGAGGTGAGAAAGTTACATAAAGAATAATTTCTTTTCTGTTTACATATTAGGCTATGTATTGGGCTTTCTGTGAGGGGTTTTTGGTTGTGTCTTTGGTAAGAGGGGAAGGGCTACAGAGATGGCCCTTTAAGAAGCTACCTGAAAAGCTCCCCCTTTGCCTTTGTCAGACCCACCTCTGACCAGGGCCAAGCTAATCAGTGCCCCTGCTAATCTGTGTATTTAAGAGGTGTGCAAGGCATGCCTTGCTCTCTCTCTGGCACCGGCCCTGACCAGCGTGGCCCCAGGTGCAGGTGGCGCAGCCCCGACCATGACCCCAACTTAAGCTTAAGCCTCGCTGCAGCTTCATCCCAAAAAAAAGAGAGAGAGAGCCAGGATCTCCAGAACCATCAGAAGAGACCTGCAGCAGAGAAAAGAGTGGGGCCCGAGAACAACTTTGAAGAATACCAAGGTCTTTCTTGAAGGAAAGAAAGAAGAGGGAGGAGGAGGAGGACGCAGAGCCCAGGTTCCCCTTTTGCAACCTGTGGCGAGAGCCAGGTCGACTCCCTGCAGCCCGGAGAGCTCAGCAGTGAGGCAGGGCCACTTGAGAAGTGGCTGCCCATGAAGAAGCCGTGACTCCGGGCAGTGTGTGCTGGAGCAGTTTGTGTGTGCGGGAAACTGCAGCTGTGGGCAGACCCAGATTGGACATTTGAGGACTTTTTCTCCCGTGGAAAGGGGGCCACGTGGAATCAGAGAGAGAGGGGCTGGGCAGAGTCTTCCTACTCCTTCAGAAGCACGTGGCGGGAAGACCAACTGCAACCCCCCACTCCCATTCCCCTGTGCCTCAAGGCAAAGGGAGAGGGGGAAAGTAAAGGAACTGGGAACAAAAACTGAGCCCGGGAAGAAGGGAGGGGTGGGGGGAAGGTGTTTTGACTTTAGGATCTGGTTGTATCTCCCATTGTTCTGCTCTGATGTTGGTAACAAATTAAAATGGTTTTGTTTTTATTCCTTATGATGAGTCTGTCTTTTGCCTGTGACCTTTATAAGTGGTGAGAAGCTCTCCCAGTCCTTATTTTGACTGGCCCTTTTTTGGGGCTTTGTGGTGCTCATTTAGGCACTGGGCCTAAACCACAACAGGCTATTAAGAAGTTACTATTTACATATATATATATATGAATCACTACATCATTGTTCAAAAGTAAAGCAAAAATGCTACAGTTTTAAAGGGTATGTTTTTCCTCATTGTTGTCCACAGTAAAGTAGGTTTCATTGTTCCTCAGCTAAATGAAAATGTAATATTCTGTAGACTCAGAACGGATTTTTCCACCTGTGCAAACCTACAGTTTCTTTCTTCTCTAAGAAATCAGTTTTGGAATGAAAATTCTGTAAATTTCAAAGAAATTTCATTGAATCACAGAATTATAAAAAAGCGACCAACGTATTGGAAGCTTGTTTGAAAACTCCGATACTTTAATGTCACTTTTTTTTTTCCTTTTAGGAGGCAATAGACACATTTAATGCTCCCAACAGCAGTAAATTCATTTTTATGCTCAGTACCAGAGCTGGAGGTCTCGGAATTAATTTGGCAACTGCTGATGTGGTTATTCTCTATGATTCAGATTGGAACCCTCAAGTAGATCTGCAGGCCATGGTGAGTTAATTCCCTAATACACATTCACTTGTTACAGTTGTCATTTTTACATTTTGTATAAGTGTTTCCAGAACGTGCATTTTTGTTGGTTTTCTTTACTGCTTGTATTTAATACCAGGAAACTAAGGAATTGAATAAAAAGGGCATTAACAGAATTGTGGAAGAAACTGCAGCATTTTTTTCTCTACATGTCTGTCTTAATTATTTTCCTAATTGAGTAAGATTACTTCTGTCAGAATAGTGTATCAGTAGAGTTATTCTTAATTCTGTCTCTCCAGAAGACAGCAGTAAACTAATAGGAGGGCTGTTTCCAAAATAGCAGCAAAGAATTAAAAGCATGCAGCTTTATATTCTTCCCTTTTGGGAAGGTTATACTTCTGTGACCCACCTTGTTCTGCACGAGTGTTAAATCACTTGGTGGTAACCCCAGGGGATAAAAACCCAACCCTTATGTTTGGGTTAAACACACTGAAATCTCTTTGAGTGTGAGTATCAAAAAATCAAGTCTATAGTTCGTTACATGTGGCATAAAAATCACGTCATCCTTCTTGCATGGTTGAGGGGTGGGGTATTTGTTCTGTGGTTTGTGGGGTTTTTTGTTTGTTTCTGGTGGGTTTTTTTTTTGATGCCCTTAAACTTATCAAATAGTTATTTTGAATAACTCATCCTTTTGATATGCATGTTGACTACCAGCACTAGATCAACTTTCTGCAGTGATTGTAGTAACGCTGTGATAGTAGACTGAGTTTTGGTAGGATTTTCAGGAAAAGATGAATATTATGCAGGAGAGTAAAAGATTTACTGGATTTAAAAGATTTAAAGGACAGTCAGGAAATCCTGGTACCAACAACTTAAAGGCCAGCTGTTGAACTTCTCTTATTTAAGAGGACAAAATAATATTTTATTCATGTTTTCCAGAGAGAGTAAACACAAGCTTTGTTACAAATAAGTGTAGTACGTTAGTCATAACCTCAGTCGCTTTGTATTGCACTATGTGAGCTGCATATTGATGCTTTAACGTAGCTAACTTGGGACAACTGCAGCGTTGAAGCTGTAGCTGCATGGACTTTGCCCATGGAATTAATATGCTTGAACAAGGGGTGCCAGAGATTCAATACCTACGTCAAGTGAGAGAATTAGTTTGAAAGCAGTGCAGGGGTGTGTGTGTGTGTGTGTGTGTGTGTGTGTGTGTGTGTGTGTGTGTACTGTTGTATCTCCACTTCCCAACTGCAGCCTAGACAGACATTCAGTTGTTCTCATTCACAATGAGAGAGATGCATTTATTACTACAGAGTGACTCAAACTTCAAAGGTGAAATAGCCAGATATAAGTAAATATTACTGCAATGGTTTTACCTTTTTATATATTCTTAAGTAAGCAAGGAACCAAGTCATATATGCTAGTTTCACACTGCTGTTTCTGCTGTATAGCGAGCTAACTGTCTATTGCTTGTGAGTTTTGTTGCTGAACGCTCCTTAATTTATGTTTGTTAGGATCGTGCGCATCGTATTGGTCAAAAGAAACCAGTACGGGTGTTTCGACTAATCACTGATAATACTGTTGAAGAGAGGATTGTAGAAAGAGCTGAAATAAAACTGAGACTGGACTCTATAGTTATACAACAAGGTATCAACTGCTATATATGTTTGTCTGCAACAGAATTGTTCAGTCCCTTGAAGTACGGGTTAAGTAACTGTACAGATGTACAGCATGAGAGAAAGCAGGCCTTGTGTGTACATTAAATCAACCTAAGAAACTATAATGTGTCAATTACTCATTTGTTCAGCTGAAATTTTTGAAAAACAAAATTGTTTTCCTAAATGATGTGGGCACAGACTTATCCTCAGAGTCTAAATGAGGAAAGCAAACCACAGCTGAACAGATATTACTTGTTTGTTATTTTTTAAAGGAAAAAAGGAAATGTTTCATGACAGATAAAAATAACAGATGTGCTTCTTAACACATAGAAATATACTGAGCATTAAAATTGCTTTGTGTGTCTTTGTTTGGAAGCTCTTGGAAGAGCAGTTTGTCAAAAAAAGGGTTCTGAAGCTAAGTTTTGAGGGTTGCTTGTGTTTCTGAAAGGGTGGGCTACTGAAAAAATGATGGTCAAAATTTTGATGGTTTGTGAAGAGATGAGATAGGATAAGTGAAATTTGGGACAAGTTAGAATTTTGGAAAAAGTATTCAGAGATTTGGATTGAAATCAGTGAAGTGAGCATTAAAAATCTTAAGTACTTCTTAATGGTTATTACAGAATACTTTGTAATTTTTTCATCTTGAAATAGGATTTTGATCTTAAAATTCAGGTAACATTGTAAGAACGCGATCTTAAACACAAAATTCGGAATATCTGAATGTGAAACATACTTTGCTATGGCTTGATCCAAAGTTGTTATTTTCCCTGAAGTTCCTCATTTCTGTTTATTTTCAAGTGAAGTGTGGTTTTTTCTGTATGGTTCTTGTTTTTCCTTTCTTGTTCTGTCAGTGAATTAAAAAAATTACCCTTTTTGCATGGTACTAACAGAACTTTTGTATAACTTTCAACATGTTTCCTCTAATTTTAGGAAGGCTCATAGACCAACAGTCTAACAAACTGGCAAAAGATGAAATGCTGCAGATGATCCGGCATGGAGCCACTCATGTTTTTGCTTCCAAAGACAGTGAGCTGACAGAAGAAGATATAACCACTATCTTAGAAAGAGGTGAAAAGAAGGTTAGAGAACGGTTTTGTACAGAATTCAGAATGTGTCAAACATTAAATATCTACACACAAAATACAAACACAGTCTGATTGCAGATGTGTCTGTGTTTGTGCCCAGCTGTTATTTAAGGCATATGAAAGTTTCAAAGGAGTAGAATTAGTGAGTTTTAATTATTTTCAAAGTTCAGACTGTGTGCACCGTATCTTACGCACTGTTTATTTTGTGGGCTCTTAAAGATGTGTCTCTCTTTAAGGGTCAGAGAGAGAGTGAGCAGGATT